CACAGGGTATCCTAGCCCCGGCATTCCAAGCTCTCATCTTCATGGCCCTTCCAGTCGTTTTCCGAAAGCTCTATCACCATTCTGGAGATATCTCAAAAACCTCCCGCGAGCGCCATGTTACGAGCCGTCTGTACGCATTCTTCGTCGTCAACAACTTGGTCGTCTTCTCCATCTTCGGCTCCGCTTTCCGCTTCGTCGCCGCTGTTATTCGTTCCCAAGACCAGGGGACTTGGGATGCCATCCAAGATGCTCATCTTTTCACCAATGTCATGAACGGTCTCTGCAACGTCTCGACGTTCTGGCTCACCTACCAGATGCAACAGAACCTCGGTGCCGCGACTGATATCGCGCAACTGCTGCCGCTGGTCTGGGGCTCTTTCCGTCGACGGTTCACCCACCCCACGCCGAGGCAATTGATCGAGCTGTCAGCGCCGCAGCCGTTCGATTACTCCGCTTATTACAACACGTACCTGTTCGTTGCCACCGTTGGGTTCTGCTTTGGAACGTTGCAACCGATTGTGCTCCCAGTAACGGCGTTTTATCTGGCTATCGAGTTATGGTTCAAACGCTACCTCCTTCAATACGTCCTAATTACAAAAACTGAGTCTGGCGGACAATTCTGGCGCATGTTGATCAATCGATTACTCTTCGCCGTACTGCTGATGAACGCGGTCATTGCCCTCGTCGTCGGAGCGCAGGGCGTCGGCGCAAGACAGTATATCGGAGACGTCGCAAGGAGCGGCGCCATGCTCTACGCGATGATCCCACTCCCGTTCCTTTTGTGGGCCTTCAAGTGGTACTGCTCGAAATGCTTCGATGATAAACTGAGGTACTACAGTACTAATTCCACGTCAGCCGGCATCGACGTCGAGGGAGCGTCGAATGAGGGTGGAATGAAGAAAGGAAAGAAGAATGATAGGGTGGGGGTCAGATTCGGGCATCCAGCGCTCTACCGCCGATTGATGACGCCTATGGTGCACGCGAAATCGCAACATCTCATGGCGGAAATTTATGATGGCTCTGCTGATGACCCTGGATATGACCATCCCGCCGCAGCAAGAGCAACCGGAACTACCACCCCTCGCTCGGTATACGGCTACAGCGACACGTACATGTCAGACATGGACCACTCCACCCCCGGCAAACCAGCAAAGTCTCAGCAGCCGGAGCACGGCGCCGATTTTGAATTCGTTAAGGAGAGCGACCTCGACTTTGAGAACTTCAAGCGGAGAGCAGAGTTTAGAGAGGAATTCGGCGGTGACGGCGAACTTTATGGGAAGCCGGAAGATCTGATCTCACGGCCGGGCACGCCGAGTACGTTTGCGACCATGAATTTTGGTATCGGTATGGGAAGCCTGCCGGAAGATGAGGAGGTGGAGCCGAGTAACGGAAATGGAACCAGGACGAGTAGTTTGACCCTCGCAAAGATCGGAGATGGAGAGGAAGGCGAAGGGACGACGTATGGACCCGGCTACAGCAAAGCGGGATCTTCGGAGTCGCCGTCGCCGAGCGGCGTGCTCTCTGGCAGGAGGCATAAAAGACACGGATCTGTGGACGTGGATGTGCCGACGGCGGGGCTCGATGCGGGGGATATTGTCGCGGCGGGCAAGAAAGCGTATCGAGATCATGAGCAAGAGGAGACGGGGAGTTTGTCTGGCGGCAGACTGTTGAGTTTGTCCGGGGGTATCGGGAGGAGTTCTGAGGCTGAGGATAAGGAGACAGATGATGAGAGGGGGAGTTTGGATGCTGGGAGGATGTTGAGGTGAATCTGATTGGGTGTATGCGTAGTTGATGTGTGATCAGGGTAGACGGAGGCTCTTTTGGAAAATTAGCGGCATTGGTGGGCGCTTGCATCTATCTGCTTTAGAGTTTAGACTGGGTTGCATGGCTGTATATGAAATTTTACTGTACCAGGCTAGTGTTTGTTCAGCAAGACCACAGTCAGCCATTTCGGGTAAGTTTGTGATTATGTTCGTCTAGACTGCTTTTACTCTCGGTCCTATTCTCTGATCTTGTCTTCATTTCCCTGTTCGTATGGGTTCTTCATTGAACTACCCAATCCGACAGCCGCTTTGATCATGTTTAGGATAGTGTACCCTTAACTTTACCCCAATGCCGTACTGCCTTTGCACGAGGATACCAACTTGTATCACATGCTGATACTGGAGATTCTTACTGCCATCCCTCGGGAATGTGTACGTTTTCTGGAACACGCGGGTATCTGGCCTGCGTACTTTTCTCGATATTCAAGCTTGTGGTTCTTTGTGGACCGTAAAGAACACCCGTAAGTGCGTCCAACACCATCAACGCTATCTCTAGATGTGCTAATAAGTACCACTCTAGATGTCTAAGTTAGGACTTTTCACTGTCTCTCTTTAATAAAGACTCCTTTCTGAAATTTTAACCTTTTCGATTTTGCTCTCTCTATTCTAGAAAATCTTATTTTGAAGTATCCATGCAACGAGCCTCTGTCTAAATTCTCAAGTTGTGTTCTTCTCTTAGGAACTCAACATAGAACTTTCGGATGGACCGCACCCGCGTCTTATACCCGTGGAAATTCTTCCTGATTCAAGCACAATCTTGAGTATTTGAGCTGGGAATCGTCACTGTCTCATTTCAACAAATTTCAGACTTTACCTTGGATTGTTGTTCTTTCCTTTCTGGAAAATCCCGGGCTTCCTCTGAATAGTGTCTACGAGCCACTGCAAACCACTAAGCCACGTACTTTTTCGGAAGGGACTAAGCGTGGAACTCTCGAACGGACCGTGCTACCGCGCCCAGGAGCACTTACGTCCGAACTGCCTCAGGATGCCCAGTACGGTTTTCATTATCTGAGCTTGGGGTCTTCACTATCTCTTGAAGAAAGTATACTTTTCAAGAAGAGACTTCACCTTGAACTTGTTGTCATCGCAATCCTGGAGAAGACCATCTTTCTGAAGTTGAAACTGGTGTTCTCTCTACCCAAAAAAGCTTTCTCTTGATGCATCTAAGTAACAAGTCTCTCTCTGTCAAAGAACAGCTTCTTTTGAGGTATCTAAGCAATAGGACTCTAACAAGTTTTCAAGCTGTGGACCATTTTCCCAAATCTAAGCGTGGAATTTCAAGAAGAACCGCGTCTAGCACACCTGAAACTACCTCCAGATCTCTACTCGAGTCTGCTTCCTCAATATCTTAGCCTGGAATTGTTCTTGTCTCGCTTCAAGAACATGTGTTTTTTTGAGATCTAACCTTGAAATTCTAACTCTCTCTCTATCATAGAAAAGCTTCTTTTGAGATATCTAAGCCATGAGACTATATGCAGATTTCCAAGCTGTGTATCTTTCTTCCAGAACCAAGCGTAGGTATTTGAGATGGACCGCGCCTGGGAGCACCCGCGCACACGTCTGACACCCTTATAACTGCCTGCGGATCTCCACTCAAGCCCACTTTCTCCATGTCCGAGCTCGAAAGCTTTCTTCCTTCTCCATTGAAAAGATTTATACTCGGATATCTAACCTCCTCGTAAAGCAGTCTGGTCCTCTAGAAGATGTTTCTTCCATCCTCAAGAGGTATGTGTGCGCCTTTCTGAATAGCTGTTTGTCACGCAATTCAGCTTCTCAGCTCACGCGCTTGACAAGTAACATCTTCAATGTCGGCTTACTACGCTCAAGTTGGAGCTAACACCCTACTTCGACTAATAAGTTCGACATACTAGCCGCTTGCACAGGATCCAACAAGAATCGAACACTTGAGCGACCTTGAGCTCGTGAACTTCTCACTACACTTGCAGGATAGCCATGGCACGGAATTTAGAGCGGATTCGACACTCGAACAAGCTTGGAGCTCATACTCTCGCCTCCCCTCTCGAGATAGCCATTTGGACTCAGTCCGAATTCGGCACCCTCGCCGGCCTTTTCGACACAGTTAGCCGTTCGCGCTCGGTCTGCTGTTCACGCCTTCGCCGCCCCTTTTGATACAACTGTTTGCGCTCACCTGCAATCTGCTGTTTACACCTCGCTAGCCTTTTCAATGTACCGCGGCGGAACTTAACACGGGACCAGAGACTTCGCGAGCTACTGAGCTTCACGTAATTGCTACCACTTTAGACTCAGCCGTGGCAGAACACTGTACGTGGCTAAAGATCCAGCCACTGAACTTTACACGCTCGCCGACGACGGCCCTTCGACACAGCCATAGCAGAATTCAGTATGGGTTAGCAATCCAGCTACTGGATATCACATCATCGCCAGTCCCGCCCTGTTCGGCATAGCCGTCGCGAAACACAGTACGGGGTAACAATCGAGCTACCTTCACACTCTCAGCAGCGCCGTTCCTTCGATAGAGTAGCCGTTTATACTCAACCTGCTGCTAACACCCTCGCTGCCCCCTTCGACACAGCGGAACTCATTACGGGACCGAGAATCAAGCTACTTTTAGCTTTCACACTTGAAGTTCACACCCTCGCCGCCCCTTTCGACACAGCCGTTTACACTCAACCTTCGGTCCACACCCTCACCAGCGCTGCCCCTTTCGACATAGCCGTGGCGGAACTCAGTACTAGGCTACCCTCACCTACGCCGCCCCTTTCGACATAGCCGTTTCCACTCGATCTGCTGCTCACATCCTCACCTGTGCGCCCCTTTCGACATAGCCATTTACACTCAACCTGCTGTTCACGGCTTTATCAGCGCTGCCCCTTTCGACATAGCCGTGGTGGAACTCAGTACAGGGCGAACCATCGAGCTGCTCCTCTCGGCACAGCTGTGTGCGTACAAGTCTAGACCGGAACTCACTTCTTATCCATACTCACACGATCACCAGCGCTGCCCCTTTCGACATAGCCGTAGCGGAACTCAATACGGGGCGAAACATCGAGCACTCAACCTTCTGCTCACACCCTCACCAGCGCTACCCCTTTCGACATAGCCGTGGCAGAACTCAATACGGAGCGAAACGTCGAGCTACTCGTCTCGGCATACTGTGAACGTGCAAGTCCAGACCGGAGCTCACTTCTCATCCAAGCCTGCCGGCTCCGACCTCAAGTCACGAGCTTCTCATCAACGAAAGCTGTTTCTGAGCCGACCACACCACATCGTCGTCGAATCAAATTATCAAGGTGGAAAGATGTCTACTCCACCAGAACGCCCACAAACGCCGACGGATGGCACAGCACTGCAACCTCAGCTATTCCAAAGCCCAGATCGCACCCCTACGCAGCGGCTCGTTAATAACGACTTTGCTACAGCCTCCGTTTCCCCTAGCCCGCCCCCGAACATGCCATCGAACAGCCAAAGCGGCCCCAAGCCCCGTCCCATCTGCCCAATCGAGAGCTGCGGCAAGGACTACAAGAACAACTGGACTCTCAAGCGCCATCTTCTTAGCTTCCATGCTGAATACCGATTCGGACAAGATGCAAACAGTAACATTGTTCTGATCGGGACTTTGCAAGAGACACAGGGAGACCAGGAGCAGCTCGGTGGTACAAACATTGCTCCCTTTCCGCTCAGCGAAGGCCAGCAGCGAACTTTGCTCCAGACATTGCAACAGTCAGAGCAAGAATACCCGGCTGCTGAGATCATCGACTTTCAAAACCTCCCACCCGAGCTGCTGGATGAGGCTATCCGCCTCGTGCAGTATGAGCAGTTTCATGTATCGGCGCTGAACTTGGTCAGGCAGGAGCAAAGGGATCTGATAGAGCGTCAGAGGACCCTGCAGCCGCAAGGCTTGCAGTGGCAAGCTCCTGTCACTTTCTCATCGCAGAACGAACATCAGGTGCCAACAACACCACGGAATGGTTTGACTGGGTTTGCGAGGCATGGGATCAGTTCGCAGGAGTTTGTTGAAGATATAGCGGAGACCGAAGAGAGAATCGAGGAGGACAGGGAAGAAACTCAGCAAGACGAAACAGACGCAGATGCCATGGACGAATCCGAGGATGGGGACCCGATGTAGGGTTGAAAGTACACAAGTACTAGGAACTGAACAAAACGGAGTGGGCGGATATGGATACATCCAAAAGCAAGATCAAAAGGCTGGAACTCATCTCTCAAACATACTCTCTGCGGTCCCGAGGACTCCGTGGTTCGGCCACCGCGACGGAAGTCATAACGGGAAGATTGGCACAATTGGGAATAATGGGTTTGGTCGGGCCCGGAGACAAGAGGTTCAAGGGCATTGCGGAAGTAATGGGATCATTTTCTTTGGGGTCACGGTAAAATCAATCACGGTGGTAGATGGAGTCGAATTGCAAGAGTTCGTACATAAAACCTCGGTTCCCTTATTAAATTATGCTATCACCCTACGGGAACCCTTTGATCTACAAGACTACGTATTCCAGTAAGCTCCGCTTCATTCTTTATTCTTCATATGGGCGTGCTCAGGGACGAGCTCTCGAATTAATGCCAGAGAACTCCTCTATGACAAGCCACCGTGTCCAAATGCTTTCCCCATGCCACCACATTGTTTTGAAGAGGTGTACATATAGAGATCATGGTCTCATACTCGTAATCGGGCTCCATGAGGAGTGGAGGCATCTTGTCTGTGATGCTCGTGGTTTTTGGAAGCTGCGTCGGGCGCCTGGCACGAGAATTGGGGTCGCGGTCGAAGAGGTAGCCACGCAAAGTGCAGTGAGCTGATCAGCATGGAAGAGGCAAAGCAATGAGCAGACACGAGATAGAGATCAAGTACAGGCCTCGCCAACTATTTGTGATTGATGAAGTTGACTACGAAAGCTACCTGAGGTGAAGTCGACGCGCGACGCGCGCCATGTAAACAAACCTCAACCTCAACACCACAGATCCAGTGGCCCTCAAGCCCTCGCTCAAGGCGAGAGCCTGATGGCCTCCTCTTTATTATTCGACCCTTCTTGGCCCTCCTGGCACTTTGTGCTCAACCCGACTAAGCTAAGGGGAAGGGGTGGGGGAACTTTCCTCCTCTTTCGAAAGAATAAGCGGCCCTCCTTGACCCTCCATGTCCACCCATGAACACGAAAAACAGTATCCTCTAGGGTGGCTCTGGAGAGCACTCGACGCTCTCGCACTCGCAGAGGGCGGTAAGCCAGTCTGGGAGGAGCCGTGGACGACGTGCGCAGACCAACCTTGCGCGGCAGCGTAAAAACTTGCCGGGCAACTGGTGGTGTGCATGAGAGAAGAAAGGAAGAGAGAGAAGGACGAGGCGGACGGGTATTTATAAAAACGCCAAGACTTTTCGATCACGCGTCACGTGATTTTTGTGAAGTCTCCGGCCTTGCAGTGGACGCCTTTCTGATTAGGTTCGAGTACAATTCTCAGAAGATCTTCCGCCGCCGAGGGACACCGCCTTGGGTTCAGCGCTGCCTTCTTCCGTATGCAGCCGGTGGCCACAATTGGTGGATCCAATGGCATCGCTGCATGCAAGTTTTTAGTACTAAGGTGTGTTTCTGAAAAGGTTGATTCTCGAAGCAGCTTGATCTTCTGCTGCCCGTCCATTCCAGTTCGATAACGTCACTCCAGAATCCAAGGGTCTTGTCCGTGCCAGAAAATGCTGCCCCTCTCAGCACGACCGTCCGGACGGCTAGGTTGACGACCTCGTTACAAAGAAAGAGACAATCGTGACGTGGAAGCTCTTGACACCGAAAAGAGGGAGGAGAAGAAGAAGAAGAAGAAGAAGGAATAAGCTTGCAAGGAAATGCTATATATCCCTAGAGACCAAAACGACAGTGATACTGAGGCTGGCAGTATAGAATTGCTCTCAAATGTACACAGTCCCGGCATCACCAAAGCAACTTGATCCCCGAGTACACGATATGCGCCCTTTAGGTCCATGTATGGTCTGAAATGGGGAAAGATGTCCTCGAAATGGGAGAAAAGAAAAGGCTCTTTTGCTAAGATCGAGTGCGATCGTCGATTCAACCTACCTTGAAGCCCGCCGTCTTCCAATAGAAGCCTCTCCAATATATTCTTAGCCGACATGTTCGAAGAGGGAAAGCGACATACAGATATCACTCATCGGGGTGACGCCTAATGTAACGCCATTCGAGTTGTCAGGGTAAGACTGAGCTCGTCTCCGCATATCTCCGAGTCTTGTGGGCTTCTAGTCCAGTGTCATCCTGAGGGCGCTCGACTATGAAAAAAGTAGCGCTGATATCCCAGAAGTTCTGCCCAGCTTCCACAGTAACCAACCGGCAGTCGTATCCAGGACTATGGAAGTTGCGTGCTTCAGGACCCGCTAGTATGGGTCGCTCGGAGCAATGAAAGACGATGAGCCCCCGGGGAGAAGGAGAGGCTTGGATGTTGGAAAGCAGTGGATGGAGTCACGGAGTGGAAGCTGGTAGTTGGGGTTACCTAGGGGGTTACCTAGGGGGTTGTTTATCTCAGCATGCGGCTCAGACTGGGGGAGATCGGAATAACGTATACCCGCCTCGACGCCACATCACCTGACACGAAGGGACGTCTGAGCGCAAGCTGAGATAGGGGCGGGGGTTGTCATTCCGAGATGGTTCAGTGGTTGGAGATGTTCATTACTCAGCTCTTTGTCATCAACGCCACCTCACGTGCAGTTAGACGCGATCTCGTCCTCGTCCTCATCTTCCAAGGTTCCTTGTCCACCACCTGCATCTACTCCCACCACAACTTGTGCCCCATGTCATGATCAATGAAAGTAAAGCAAAGTCGACTTTCCAGCCATTCCAAACTAGAGAACGTTTCCTTCTCTTTCTAAGCGATACTCCACGCTCTTCTTTGCTGTACCGTACCGTCCCGTATCCGTCTTCCCTGCTCTTTTCTCAACTCGTAAATTTTCCACCTCCTAGAGAGCAACACATCCCACAAATTCATCGCTAGGCTCCCCGCGATGGTTCCCCCAAGGGCCTCCCTCAGATCGAATCTGCCTTGACCAAGTCGATCTGGAGTTCAAGTGTTGTATAAGATTTGGCAACCCCGGTGCCGTTTATATTAACCAACCATGGCACCTGCTTTTCATCAGGGATATAAGCGCCCTGGGAACACTCACCTGCAGGAGACTGTACAGCCCCTACCTTGGATACTTACCATCGAAAAGTGGGCTGCTGGTTCCATATTGTTTCTCCTGGGTGGCATGTCCGCCCCCTGGCTCACCATCCAACACTGCCCCAATACGCCGACTCCATGATAAGCTTTTGTTCATCTGCTGGGTCGGCGACGCTGTTATCAACCATGATTTTCCATGGATATGTGGCACCAGTCCGCATGTTTGGTAACAAAGCGAGCGAGCAACTACGCCGCAATATCGATCCGAACAGGATACTGTCAATCGACGTTGCTACCAAGGTATGATCTTCATAAATTGTAGGATGCGCTCCTATGGCTCTGAGCTATTTTGAAGCATCTGTCTGCCCTTGTTTCATTTCTTCGACAGTCGCATTTTCCGTCTTTTCGCACTTGACAAAGTCTATTTCTGAAATGCCCTTCCAAAGACCCGCTCGTGTGTACTCTTACCATGATCGAGAGACAGTCCCTTGTTCTATAACCGACGGCGACATTTTTGAAGCCTTCTCGCCTGTTGCTGACTCCTGCTACCTTGCCTCTACTCTTTCCACCCGTTCTGATACCTTCGCGGAAGGCTTAGACGGTACATCCACACCAGAACTGAAGCAGGCAGAGACGTACGCCAATCTACTTCAGAATGAAAAGTATGGGGACCAGATACAACAGACGAAAAAGTGGGTGACACACTCCATATAGAATCACATCACTGATTTGGGAAGACCCAGGATTACCCTCAAGCGCAAACTAGGAGCTTGGGCGACGAGCGTGTTGATCGTTACCAACATCGGCTTACTCGCATCCTTCATCTTTCTGTTCTACCTGTGGTTCAGCAATGAGAGAAACGGGACGTGGCAAAAGATAATGGTCAAAGGATTCGCTTCTCGAGCCATTACCCTTGCCTCACTGATCATACAGTATGCCATCTCCATGCAAGCGACCATATGCGTTTCTATGCTGGCAGCGCTTTGGATCGAGAAACGATATGTAGCTCTTGCTCATGCCGCTGAGATATCCATTATGAGATTCGTCAACAGTGGCCCTTCAGCCATGCTCTGGCGGAGCGTTCAGCAACACGCCTTTAAGCACAATCCGATGGCATTTGGGACATTGTTACTGCTTGCCTGTACTACGACGCTACTCCAATTTGCCTCGACTGTCCTGCTCTCAGACGTCCAGACCGGTAGAATTATAGGCTTTCCAAAGTCCCTCGCGCACAAGTCGGCCTTGCTGCGAGGTTCTTTAGCTTCGAATTTTCAATTTTACGACCCGATTGAGCTGCCAGCCAGGGAATACCAGACTTTTGCAGAATATACCGAACCCGGATTTCAGAATCCCAAAGTCGCCGACACAGGAATAACACTCACGAGCTACTTGCCGATATTGGACACAAGCGAACGCCTTGCTGTTCACAACTTCAGCGGACAGTCATATGTTACCGACACGCGTTTCGCTTGTGTCCAGCCTGTATTTCAGGATGCTGTGTGGGACTCGTACGGCATCAATGGGACTGTCAACCCTTCTACGATTTTCCCAGGATTGATACATGATCCCCTGAGCAGGCTGAATTTTAGTTGCCCATTACCACGCTACGAGGTCCATGTCACTTCGGGATTCGTGTCGCTATTGTGCGGAATAAGAGCTGTCCAGTCAAACCGATGGGTAGTGTACGAGCAACCACAGGAGAAAGGAGTCAATGTTGGGGGTTTGGTGTCAGGCCTTTTGAACCACGGCAACATCGATCTCGATTATTACTTCTCACATGACCTTGGCGGATGGACAGCACATGGATGGGACCATCTCAAATTTGGAAACGAATCGGATCGGCTGATCCGGCCAGGGTCAATATGGCTTCTCTTCAACATGACTGAATACGCAGACCTTGTTCCTTATAATGCAGAACCTGGAGAGGCCCTGAAAGTTAATTCCTACCAGTCGGAGTGGAACATAACTGATGACGGTCCTTGGCTGAACATTGAGATGCCCAAACAGGATTTCAGGTTCCAGGCGACCCTCTGCTACGATGCCATGGGGACTCCCGCCTTCTTCTCCAACATCACCGCAAGCAGCACTTCCGAAATCCAAGAGCCCCAGATGCTCATAGATCCTGACACCGGCCGCTATGGCACCTCGGCTGTACGTGATCAACTCGGCGCCTCGTCGCGCAACTTGTCCCGCGAGGCGAGAGGCATCCTGGATCTTGATCCTGTCAGCGCATATATCGGCAAAGGAGAAGCGTTGAAAGAGCTCTATCATCCTTATGCGACCTTCGGTTCGCCTTTCTCAACAGCCGAGCAAAACGGCG